GAAATCGTTTGGTATGCGACTCGTTTTTGGTTGGTTTAATAATTTAATAATACAACACAACTAACTACCCACAAAAGTAAGTAATACGTAAAATAAAATGATGTCACATAAAATAACTGTGTTACAAGATTATATATCTCGCTCGAAAAACTCTGCCACTGCGAGTGCAGCAGTGCGAGGGTCTCCAAAAAAGACCATTTTTCAACAACCGTTTACAAGATCGACAAATTCTTGCACCAGAAGACGCAGAGGATACGGCTCCAAAAAATTTTTTTCTTGACAATTTTTCGAAAATATACACCGCAAATTAAAAAAAAAATGAAAAATGGGTCCCCCTATTTTTGGAAAATTGGCATCAATTTAAAATCTGTGTTCTAGATGTCAGTTTCTTCTACATGACGATGTACCTCGTATAGACAGCTAAAACATTTGTATTTAAGATTTTTAAGTATTGTACAGGGTGTTCGCGATATTCCGTGCAACTACCGACTTCAGATTTGGGAGAGGTAGAAGTCTGAACCCGCATTTAGACCCTTTAAATTGGGAACAATAAAATGGCGCCAAATACTTTTTTTAATTTTTGAAATTTTTTTTTGGTTATTTTGGCTTCTAGAAAAACATGTTTTCCTCCAAAACCATTCATTCGATCGGAAAAAATGGTACAACCGTAATACGTGGGACATCCGGCGCTATAACTTTTGTTTCTTGCATTTTTTCGATTATACGCAAGGTGTTTTAGTTATGGGCGAAAATCTGAAAATGGTTCTTTTATTAAGTAAATTTTATTAGTAAAAATAGGTAATCCGTTCAAACAGTGTTACAGGCCGTATCAAGGGCTACAATTTTTGTATTTACGATTTTCGTCTGTCACGTACGCTACTCGTGATATTTGAAAAATCCATTTGAAAATTGCAATATCTCGGACTTAATCTAGACGCGATGACGTCATTTACTATTACGGTGTACTGCATGGTTTCAAAAAAGAGGTATTTTCTCGAAAGCTATTTATCCTATTGAAAAAATTTATATACCGGGAAGCGTGGGAGATCTAGGGTTACCACTTTTACTTGCGGCATTTTTGGATTATGTAATGGTGTGTTGATTATTTGTAAAAAAAACAAAGAGATCCTGAAAATTGCCGTTTTCGATGGTAGATTACTAGCCGTAAATGGAAAACTATAAAACATGGGATAATTTAGTTTAAACAGTGTCGTGTGTGAGAGGGAGGGAGGGGGGTTGAGAGAGAGGGAGGGAGGGGGGTTGTGAGAGAGGGAGGGAGGGAGGGGGGTTGAGAGAGAGAGAGAGAGAGAGAGAGTTTCAAGTTTCGTCTATCATACAGCAAATTTTCGACAAATTGCCACGTGCTTGTTTTCATGTTAATTTCAGGTTTACATAAATACTTTCATAGCATATTGTACCAGTATTTAAGAAAAATACAATATTACCAAAAATATTTATCAAATTTATACCTACCCCAATTATTTATAAACAAAATACTCAAATATATAATTATATAACAGTCGCCTGGAGCAGCTATAAAAAACCTTCTCTTTTCGTTTAGTTTTACTCTTTTGCATAGTGCGTGGGGAAAATTCAATGCTAGCGTGCTTTCAAGTAATTTTCGTGGGAGATAGCCCCCGAAATGATTAACCGCCTTTCTCGGGCTCGAGTGCGATGAAAAAGCTTTTCCACGTAACTGAAACTCGTTAACACATCGAGTCTAGTCGATTGATTGATAGTGAATCTGGTGGTAATACAACGGCCGCGATCATATCAATCACTTGCTATTGTCAGCAAGGGAACACCTGCAACTATATTCAACTGGAAAACATAAAGTATCACTTGTATTTTTAATGGGCAAGTTATTTTAAGAACTGATTTAATTGTTTGGGTCTGAATTCATATTTGGTGTATAAAGACCAGTTACTCGAGTAACTTGGTATATAACTTTGTTCCACATGCAAAGAAACAATTCAATTTGAGATATATTTGACAGCAAAGAAACAATTTACATACTCTTCACTCTAGAAACATATTTTATAAACAATCTCTTAACCAAAGAGTATTGCTTGAAATTTTTAAAAGGTACTTTATCTTGTTTGTATGAACTTTTTTGTTGAATTTAAAGACCTGAAGTAGTGAACATGTATACCCTTTTAATAAATGAGTTTTATTATCGCATTTCATATATCTGTTTTAACATTACCTATAAAGATTTAGAAATGTATTTGATAATCCGTTTTTCTTCTTCTGAATTGTCAAAGATATTTTATAAACAATCTGTTAACCAAAGAGTATTGCTTGAAATTTTTAAAAGGTAATTTATCTTATAACATTTCAATTGGCTGTAACTTTTTTGTTTTTAGTTATATCAAGGTAAACAAAAAATCAAAATGTAGGGTTAGTAGCCAAGTTTTTTTCCAAGTGACGTATAAAACTATCAATTTTTTGACATGCAAGCGTACATCATATTTTTTTAATGGAACGCCCTGTATATTATATATGTGCTTAATCGAATATCTTATTCCGATCACAATGATGTAATACATGTAAAATATGTTTATGTTGACATATTAGTACACAACTTCGATGGTTGAATTATTGTTCAAGTCTGCATTTTTAAAATGGTTTTTCGCGAATTTAGCATCCATGAAAGGAATGATATGCTTCAAGTATACTCTCTGAATAATAAAAGTCAGCTCGTCCTCAGTATATTAGTCTTTATTCAGAGTGCCGTGCTCCTTCAAACAGATATTCATAATCATAAATTTAGAAAATAAGGCACACATATTAGGATTCTATGAAGCACATCCAGTTTCCTCTATTACTAGAGTATATGAACATACTCAGTTTTGAAAGAATATAAATATGTATTTAAATTTAGTAATACTCAAAAACTAAGTGCAAAACAATATCAAAGGATTTTTTAAATAGATATAATGAGAATATTCATTTTTTGAAAAACATTTTGTGGACTGGTGAAAGTTCATTCAGTACAAGAAAGGATTGTAATAGATAAAATACACGATACTAGCCTTTAAATAATTCTAGACAAATAGACGAAATAAAAACCAAAGGGTACAAATCGATTAATATATCTGCGCTGATTATATGGCAGCAAGACGGTGCCCCTGCTCACAATGTTGTGCAAGTTAAAAATATTCTTAACATGAAATATCCCAGCGGTTGGATGGGGAACGGAGGAATTATGGACTGACCAGCCAACAGCCCCGACATAACTTTAATGGATTTTTTCTTTTGGGGACACATAAAAAATCACGTGCACTGAACTGCTTGTAATAATATCGTGGAACTTCGGCAAATGATTTCAGAGACAATCAATCAATTCAGAGACAATCCGGAAACGTTACTAAATGCAAGACATCATACAATTAGAGTGTATGAGAAATGTGTTCACGAAAATGGTGGTCACATACAGCATTTAGAATAGTTAAATAATTTTTTACTTTAGCGTCTCTTGTCATTTTTAGTGTTTTTGTTCTACTTTAATTTGTAAATAATAATTGTTATTGCACTCAGTCACGGAACTCTTTGAAATTATATAAAAATTTCCTATTTTTGCCCATTTGTCAAAAACGAGTGACTAAAATATAGAGTGTGTTCCATCATTGAAATCGGAATAAGATTTTCTATTAGACACATATATAATATACAGGGTGTTATATGTCAGAAAATTGATAGTTTTATACGTCCCTTGCAAAAAAACTTGGCTACTAACCCTACATTTTGTTTTTTTGTTTACCTTGATATCTCTAAAAACAAAAAAGTTACAGCCAATTGAAATGTTATAAGATAAATTACCTTTTAAAAATGTCAAGCAATACTCTTTGGTTAACAGATTGTTTATAAAATATCTTTGACAATTCAGAAGAAGAAAAACGGATTATCAAATACATTTCTAAATCTTTATAGGTAATGTTAAAACAGATATATGAAATGCGATAATAAAACTCATTTATTAAAAGGGTATACATGTTCACTATTTCAGGTCTTTAAATTCAACAAAAAAGTTCATACAAACAAGGTAATAAACTTGAAGTTTTTACAAGAAGGTGGTCGGATGATTGCTTGAGGTTCGTTATCTTGAACGTTGAATTATTTATGAAATAGCATTAAAGCATTTCTAGAAATTCAAGCATTATATACCATATCTGAGCATCTAGGATCGCGTTTGTAAACGTCTAAATGTGTGTTACTTTATATTGTTTATGCCTTATAATTAATTATTTTAATTTATTTATCAATAATTTTTTATTATGTAATTATTTTATTTATTAATAATCTTTACAATCCACATGTTTTTTGACCTGCTATACCTATAGCTCACTGTAGGCAATAAAAATACCTATCAGGGTAAAAGTGTATCTTGTATATCTGATTTGTGTGATTGTGATTGTTTGAGTCTCAAATTGATACGTTAGAATATGTATATATATATATATATATATATATATATATATATATATATATATATATATATATATATATATATATATATATATATATATATATATATATATATATATATATATATATATATATATATATATATATATATATATATATATATATATATATATATATATATATATATATATATATATATATATATATATATATATATATATATATATATATACATATATATACATATATATATATATATTATATATATATATATATTATATATATATATATATATATATATATATATATATATATATATATATATATATATATATATATATATATATATATATATATATATATATATATATATATATATATATATAATACGTCGTGAGGTAGCTCTTAATATTTCGTAAGCTCGCCATAAAAATGATGTGTGCTTTAAGCAGGCTGCGACGGAAAAATTACCAATATTAAGCAACAAACTGCCATGGCAACAATTAATCGTAAAATTAAAGTCAGAGATTAAATTTCCTAAGCTACGTCAAGAACACGAAAATTGAACTTACGCGGATATTTTCCAATTACTTATTTTCTTTCCCGTCAAAGTTCGTTAAACTTTCAACACGGTCGGGCTGCCAGCTCGCAAACGCCTAGTGTCGATGCTCTCTCAACGCTTACAACGCCGGAGGTGCACTGAACAGCGACGCTGAAACCGGGGAAGCTGCCCCCAATTGCACGCCGAGAGATGCTCTATCTCCCGTTCCGATTGGAACGGTTGAGACATTGCCAGGTTGCGTGGAGCTTTAGGAAAGAAACACTAGCTATTTTTCCGCTTGGTATACATTATAATATCGCTTTAAATGATTGATTTTCATTTCCCAAGCAAATTTTACAAGACAAACATATTCTAAGAAGTATCGTCAAAAAAAATCCATACGCTTGTGTGGAACATGGTGATATATTACATGTTGGTGATCCGTTCTCGAAGGTGGACCGATAGTGATGATAGTGATAGAGAAAGAAACAACGAAGTTAGATGAATCTTTACCACCATGTTTTGGCAGTCATAAGGTTTTTGATAGTTTATCATTACCCAAGTGAATTTCCAAGAACTTATAAACATGCCTTACTGCATATTCACTTTCGTAATAAGAAAATGAAAAAAAGATACAGAAATCCAAGATGTTCCTTTGGTTAGTTTTGGTTACTTAGAATGCCACTCCTAGATGTTTAACTTATGTTCCATTACCTTTGATTTCACTGGTGCCAAATTCCAAATGGCATAGAAAAGGCACATTGTTCATCAGCAATTTTCTGATGGCGCCAACTTTTTTTTTTCGAACCAGTTCCACATCTTTTTATGGAATCTTGAAAATTATTCAAAACTCCCCGCCATCACCGGCCAACAAGCTTACAAACGTCAACTAATAACTTTGAGGAAAATATGGCACATTCATTGGTCTATTAGTTTTACAAACTTTAGGGGAAAATGTACGGCTTGGTAACGCCGCATCGCGCGAGAAAGAAAAATAAGCGAACGATAAGCGGGAACCGAGATGGAAACACCCCAACCACGCCCCTTTTATATTTACTCAATGTTTTTTTTTTCAATTTGACATGGGCATAAACGCGGTTAAGCGCCTTTGGTCTGCGCAGCACAGTGAAAGGAACCAGACATTTGCTAGACATTGGGCCAATATTTCTTATACCATATCTTTTGAAACTTCAACTTCAAAAGTCCTCCGGAAATAGTTCAAAATTTGTTTAATTAATTTAATATTGAATAGCTACCCTAAATGACTCTTCAAGAGAGAACTTTTTTTTTCATATTTATTAGTGTTTCTATCGTCCAAGTCACAATGAGAACACAGTGCGGCTAGCATAGAAAGTGCATATCAAATGGGAAAAAGCGACACAGCGTTGCCGAGAATCGTATGGTAGTCCCAGAGCCTGACACCACACTGTATTTTGAGTGTGACTTGTACTATAGAACTAACCTTCTCAAATGATCGCTTCCCTATTTTTTGCTTTCCATTCCTTAATTTTATTCGATGTTATATAAAACATTTGATCGTCGTAGGTAAGCCAGAATGTTGTTGACACCAAAAACCATTTTGAGGAAGAGATATCTATATAACATACAGACACAAAATAAATTTGAGTTCTAAAATCATATAAACTCTTGTTAAATAGTACTCAGATAACGTACTTTCAACATGATTCACTAAACGTTTTATAAATCTCAAGATAGATGGCGCTAGAGTCACATAAATTCAAATTCAAAAATTCCTTAAATTTTAAAGACAAAAATTGTTGAGCCGGAATTCAGTGTTAACTTAAAACATTAACCAAAAAAGTGTCTTTTTTTTTTAGTTTTATCATAGAAATAAGAATTTATGAGGCAATTAGTTTATATATTGTAGAATGACAAATTATATTATATAAACAATATGATGAAATATGATCATCAAATTAATACAAATATTTCATTATTAATTTGAAAATTATTCACCAGTGAGAACAAACAATACAAGATATAAAAAATAACGGTTAAAACAGAATCACCCAAATACTGGTCAACCATGTTAAGATAAAACCTATATTTATATAATACTAAGATAAAATGTTAAATGCTTGATGTAATAGACGAAGTAGAAGAGATAATACAATAATTAAATGCATGCGCTACATATAACCATATTAATTATGGATAAATTACAACTATTCAAAATAAAAGATAAGTTGCTCTACACCGTTATTCTAATATTAATCATAAACTTCCCTTATCTTCAGCTTACCTAGCAAACGCAGTGGCGTATCATATAATAAAACGCGATTAAACAAATCACTCGGCGTAAAATTTAATGCAACTAAATCGCAGCGCCTTCTCATGGGGTCGAATATTCCAGCCGTCTCTCGACAGGCAGCCTCAGCAATCATCCGATTGTTCCCGTGTTGCCAGGTTTCTTGAAACAAGGCCAGGTTTAGCAAATTCGGCTGGGTCGTTACACTATCACATTATGAAGAATCCTGGAAAAATCAATTGTACTCGTTAATAATCTAATCGCGCTCACTTCTCTCTGAAGAGGACAAACTAAACTGAAAACAATCAGTTTAAATTAAAATCGCACAAGTTTTTTCTATAGTGTGTGTGCGTGGATAGTATAGCGGTGTTACATCAATTATTGTGGTGGCTAAGCTATACTTCCCTTTTTTCCCCTTTTTCTTCTTTTTATGCTATGAAAATTAGCTGGTATTTTTCAGCTCAAATTCTTTCCAGCTAAGCGGCGTTCTGAGATCGGTGCGTCAGAGAGCGGTTTTCGTTTTCATTACAGTAAAATATTTGCTACGTTTTTAAACCGGTGTAATGTGCGGGCGGATTTCACACTTTAAGGAAATATAATCCCATTAATCCGACTATCAATCTCAGCCCTTCCTCAGTGGCGTGGGCGCTATAAAAAGTTTAATGTGGGTCATTAATTGCGTTCCCCGATATTCTGTCTAGATGACGAGATCCCTCAACTTTGTTTACTGCCGCATACCCCCATGCCGCGTTGATAAAATAACGGTTTTTGTTGAAAAATTAATTGTGTTTTACTTTTTTGGCCGATAATCCGAAAAATTACGAACCAAAAAGAACCCTACTGAGACTAGAAAATAATAGCTACTTCACTATGAACTAAAGAAAGAATCCATATGAGCCGCATTATTTTCTATCAGTATTCTGCCAATCATGACCAAAATAGATGTTAAATATTCAAACAAATTTTTGAATAGAAAAAAATACGTATCTTCTCATATTCGTAAACAAGCTTTTGGTCTGGACTATAGCACAACAACGGCACTTTTAAACCTCGCTGACGACATTCTTAAAGTACATGGCCATAAAAATTTATTATTATTATTTATTAGATTACGGTAGTATATTTTATAAAACTTCTGGATTCCTTCTGCTTCGCTTTTTGCTGAGTCGAACTTGCTGGCGTTTCGCCAATCATCCTGTGGGCTTTTTCAGAGCTTGACTGAAACTGACTCGCATTTTACTCTGTACATGGTTATATATTGTTTGAGGGGGGCGGAGTTAAATGAGGGGCATAAACACCAACTTGGATGACTGATTCCCAAATTGCTGACATGTAGACACCTGAGTCGCAGTTAAGATTGTTAGGTTGCGTATAGATTTCTATACCTCTTGGATTTTTCGTTGCTAGAAGAATTGATTACATGCAAGAATTTTAGTTTTATTGAGTAAAATCTTATGTCCGGTTTCGTGATTGTGTTCGCCAACTTAAGACTCTTTCACGTTCTTTGAGCCTAGTTGATATTTTTCGTTCGATCTCTATAATGTATTCTTTGCCGTATATGCATGGAATGCTGTAAACTCCCGGCATCTCAAATAGAATTTTGTTGTTGACGGATCAAAGATGTTGAGATAGTTTCGGACAAGTGATAAATCTGGTTTTGCCGTCATATTTCTCTAGAACTTTTGATATATGGTCAGTGATGTTTCTATTGGAAGGTTGTGATGAAGTGTATTTTATGATGGAATGCTTAAGTTATCTATAAACACAGTGACCTAATGTTAGGTCTGATTTTCCATTGATAAGAATATCTAAGAATGGGAGGTTGTTATTAGTTTCCAAGTCAATGGTAAAACTACTAGGGATTCTTGACCAAATTTTAGATGAAAGGTATCTAGAGCTTTCTTCTCAAAGGCTTCCATAAATATATTCGCGATGACTCGTGATAGCATAATTGTTCCCGAGGTTTGTTTAAAAATTTGACCGTTATATGAAAAATATATTCCATACAAGCATTTTCCAATTAAGGTAAGAAGGTTTGGTTCCAGATTCTTGGATTTCAATATATCTGAAATGATGTTGACAGTTTCAGGAATACGAACTTTGGCAAAGAGGGATTCTACGTCGAAACTAACTAGAATATCTTGTGTATCTGATGTGATGCTTTTTAATTATTCAGTGAAGTGAAAGGAATTAAGTACGAAACTATCAGTTTTCCCTGTAAGGGGTTTTAATAAGGAAGTTAGATATTTTGCGAGAGAATATGTTGGAGAACTAATGGCGCTGACAATGGTCGAAGCTGTAATCCTGGTTTGTGTATCTTTTAGAGTCCGTAGAGACGACGAATTTTAGAGTCATGCGAGATGACACATTTTCTCACGGAGTCTGATAGAGAAGAAGCCTTAATAACAGGTTGCGTTCCATAGATAACGTAGGATCTTTTATAAGTTGACGATATGATCCGTCTGTATGAATATCTTGAATCTTTTCCTGATATTCATTTATGTCCATGACCACCATTTTAGAGATTTTAGGGAAATGCGTTCAGGCTTTGCAATATTAGATTTACGAGGTTTTGATTTTTTAAGGATTTTTGCGGATTCAAATCAAATTTCATTAGCTGTTTGAGATAGCAGTTTGTTTAGCAAAGACTCGACATTTGAAATAATTTCCTCTTTTGGGATAATACGTGGGGCAAGGACGAAATAGAAATCTATAAACAACCTAACAATCTTAACCGAGATTCAGGTCTTTACCTGTCCCCAATATGGGAATAAGTCATCCGAGAAGGATTATTTAAATTGTCGAAAGTAAAAAGTCACATTTATAAACTGAGAATCTAGTAATCTTTCTTCTTTTGGATATATACAGCAAATTCTTATACCATCCTATACTTTCTATACA